GTGTGTGAGAGTGAGTGTGTGTGTGTGGCTCTAATAGGTTGCAAATGCATAATAAAATAACAAAGACTACTCACAAGAAGAGACCTGGTATCTCTGCACATTTTTCAGATGTTTCACAGTGAGTTCTAGGATGTCAGCCTTTTCCAGCTTGGAATACTGTGAGTTCTGAGGTACAGAAGAACAGAAAGGGCGGGTTGTGAGGGGGTCTCTTATAGGCTAGATAAATTAAGATTTTACAGCACTTTTGAATACATTAGAGTGAAAGAATGAGGGGGGGGCATATATGATTCATTATGAGAGAGACAGAGAGACAGAGAGACAGAGAGAGACAGAGACAGAGAGAGAGAGAGACAGAGACAGACACAGAGACAGACACAGCCTGACAGACAGACAGACAGACAGACAGACAGACAGACAGACAGACAGACAGACAGACAGAGGAGGGAGAGAAGGAAGGAAAGATGGAACAGAGACAGAGAGAAACAGAGAAGGGAGGGGGTGGAAGGGGTGGGGGACTGAACACAACAAATGAGAGCTCGTGAAAGACAGAGACGGGAGAAGGTTCTTATTGTTAAACCCACAAGTCATTCTTGTTTCTAACACTGTCGGTAAATTCTTTCATCCTCGAATCCTTAACCTCAATCTGGCAAAATTAGAGCCAACAACATCACGATAATTCAAATAAAGGAAGCAATTATTTCATTATTTTTATAAAGCATGTCGGTCTATTTAGCCCTGTAGTCAAATTAAGCATGTGGAGGTTTTTCACAAAGAAAGTGGGTCTATTTGGCCATGTGGTCGAATAAATCATGTGGAGTTATTTTTCACAAAGCAAGTAGGGCTATTCGGTCATGTGGTCAAATGAATCGTGAGGGACAATCACAAAGCAAGTATGGCTATTCGGCCATGTGATCAAATAAAGCATGTGGAGATGTGAAGCTATTTATTTCACCAGGAAAGTGGGTTTGTTCGGCCATGTGGTCAAATAATAAAGTCTAAGGAGCAATTGAACCCCCTGTGGTCAAGTCCTAACTCATGTGGGTTAAGGGCCTCTTGCGCGTCCACGCACGTGCTGAGTCTCTGTCTGAAGGAGCTCTCACGCGCGGTCCGGAGAGGGGGGAACGGGGGGG